AATTCTTATACCAGTTCCTCATCACCAGCGAAACAGATATTCCATATTCAGTATTCATAGGCATATCAGCATTAGATAAAGTCAATATTAATATAAAGCCAGAAGGTGCAGAATTCGTAGAGAGGAGTGATGTTGAACAAGAGGTGGAAGAAAGACGAAAAGAAAATAGAATAGAGTTGTTAGAAGAGTTTCAAAGTGTGTCTGAGTGCAGGGGAATATAGTGATAACGTAGTTATAGGAATTGATTAACCATTTTAAGCCCCAATGTATTGAAAAATGTCAATATAAAATGAAGATTGTGCTATCTAACGAAGTACCGGTAGTCCAAAGTCCACGAATAGTTTCGTAAGCCAGCAAGTGGAAAATTTGTTATATAATAGTAAATCAAAAAAAAAAAAAAGGGGTCAAAAAGGTTGGGTTGCGATTACAGGTTGCCAAATAGTAACATTATTCGAGATATCTTTCCCATGGCACAAATCGATGACGTTTGGGACAGGTTGCAAAACGCGAATATTTTTACAACACTGGACTTTTAAGATGGATTTGGAAGTATACAGCATTCGTTACCCCAGATGGACACTACGAATTTAAATACGATTGCCATATATAATATATGGATGATATCGTCATTCCATACAAAGATGTTAATGAAGGAATAATGAAATTGAGACGAATTTTAGAAGTAGAATCGCGGTACGGTGTGCATACCAAGTGGAAAAGTGTAAATTTTTGGAGCGAAAAGTTAATTTTCATGGATATGTCATTAAGTCGGGAACATTTAAGCCATCTGAGGAAAAGATTCAGGCCACCAAAGATTTCTTGGATTAACTTCTTACCTTAGACGATTTGTTAGTGGATATGCATCACTGGCAAAACCTTTGTCAGACTTGCTAAAAAAGAACAGCAATTTCCAAATAAGAATAGAACAGGTAATGTATTTTCCAAATTTAAAGAGTGTCCTAACCTAACTATTATAATACCCTCATGGTGAAACCGAGATTCATACGTATGCATCCAAATTTGGATATGGAGCAATATTTATGAAAAAGTGTGGTGAAGATCTGAATCCAGTTCAATTTCTAAGAAGAAAAACAAGTCTGGCAGAAGAAAAGTACAGTTCTATGAACTAGAGCAGTCATTACAGCGTTAAAAAAGTGGAGAATATGTTTGAAAGGAGTAAAATTTGCAATAGTTACAGATTGTAATGCATATGCGCTTACAATGCGAAAAGAAGACGTACCCCCAGAGTCGCAAGGTGGGCATTATTTTTGCAGGAATTTGACTACCAATTTAGAGATCCGCTTACCACAAAAATTCTTTTTACATCTTTGGTGAGGCTTATATTATAGTA